CCAGTCTCCAGACCTTAATCCCATAGAAAATCTGTGGAGGGAGCTGAAGGTTGGAGTTGCCAAACGTCAGGCTCAAAACCTTAATGACTTGGAGAAGATCTGCAAAGAGGAGTGGGACAAAATCCCTCCTGAGATGTGTGCAAACCTGGTGGCCAACTACAAGAAACGTCTGACCTCTGTGATTGCCAACAAGGGTTTTGCCACCAAGTACTAAGTCATGTTTTGCAGAGGGGTCAAATACTTATTTCCCTCATTAAAATGCAAATCAATTTATAACATTTTTGACATGCGTTTTTCTGGATTTTTTTGTTGTTATTCTGTCTCTCACTGTTCAAATAAACCTACCATTAAAATGATAGACTGATCATGTCTTTGTCAGTGGGCAAACGTACAAAATCAGCAGGGGATCAAATACTTTTTTCCCTCACTGTATGTCACACAACACAATGCCACAGATGTCTCAAGTTTTGAGGGAGCGTGCAATTGGCAAGCTGACTGCAGGAATGTCCACCAGAGCTGTTGCCAGATAATTTAATGTTCATTTCTCTACCGTAAGCCGCCTCCAACGTCATTTTAGAGGATTTGGCAGTGCGTCCAACTGACCTCACAACCGCAGACCATGTGTAACCACACCAGCCCAGGACCTCTACATCTGGCTTCTTCACCTGCGGGATCGTCTGAGACCAGCCACCCGGACAGCTGAGGAAATTGTGGGTTTGCACAACCGAAGAATATCTGCACAAACTGTCAGAAACCGTCTCAGGGAAGCTCATCAGCGTGCTCGTCGTCCTCACCAGGGTCTTGACCTGACTGCAGTTCGGCATTATAACTGACTTCAGTGGCAAATGCTCACCTTCGATAGCCACTTGCACGCTGGAGAAGTGTGCTCTTCACGGAAGAATCCCGGTTTCAACTGTACCGGGCAGATGGCAGACAGCGTGAATGGCGTCGTGTGGGCGAGTGGTTTGCTGATGTCAATGTTGTGAATGAGTGCCCCATGGTGGCAGTGGGGTTATGGTATGGGCAGGCATAAGCTACGGACAATGAACACAATTGCATTTTATCGATGGCACTTTGAATGCACAGAGAGAATGTGATGAGATCCTGGGGCCCATTGTCTTACTATTCATCCGCCGCCATCACCTCATGTTTCAGCATGATAATGCACGGGCCCATGTCGCAAGGATCTGTACACAATTCCAGGAAGCTGAAAATGTCCCAGTTCTTCTATGGCCTGCATACTCACCAGACATGTCACCAATTGAGCATGTTTGGGATGCTGGATCGACGTGTACGACAGCATGCTCTAGTTCCTGCCAATATCCAGCAACTTCGCACAGCCATTGACGAGGAAAGGGACAACATTCCACAGGCCACAATCAACAGCCTGATCAACTCTATGCAAAGGAGATTTGTCGCACTGCATGAGGCAAATGGTGGCCACACCAGATACTGACTGGTTTTCTGATCCACGCCCCTACTTTTTTTTTTTTTACATATCTGTGACCAACAGATGCATATCTGTATTCCCAGTCATGTGAAATTCATAGATTAGGGCCTAATGAATTTATTTCAATTGACTGATTTCCTTATATGAACTGTAACTCAGTAAAATCTTTTAAATTGTTGCATGTTGAGTTTATATTTTTGTTCAGTGTAACTGTTGACGTTTTTCAGGTCAGGTCAGCTTGACTCTAAATCTATTTTATTAAAAGGTTGAAATCAAAGTGTAAAAGCATTTCAGACATGGATGGAGTGCCAGCATGGCCAAGAAGAAGCTATAGGGAACCAGACATTAACACATCCTCATATTCCTTTTTTAATTTTTTACTTTTTTTATTGCTGACTCTTGTTGGTTAACAGGCACATACACAGCAAATCGAGTAGTTCATAGTATAGTAGCATTCATAATGATAGTGTGGTTTTAGAAAGGAGATGTCCTCAGCTTTGTACGCTTAACTCAGTGACATTGGCACACAGAGGCAGATCTGACTCGGTATTTCAATGTCAATGACATCAGCGTGTTTGCATAGGCTAGTGTCAACATCCTTTTTTATATACACATATTATCCATTGACAGAGAAGTATATTAATATGCAGAAAATGAGAGAAAAATGAATAAATAATAATTAAAGAATGAGGTTAAATTGAGAACTCTTGGTTTCTATTTTAGTATTTACCCCCACACACACAAATAAAATCGTATTTGTCAAATGCTTCGTAAACAACAGGTTTAGACTAATATTGAAATGCTTACTTATGGCCCTTCCCAACAATGCAGAGAGAAAGAAAATAGAGAAATAATAGAAAAGTAATAACGCATAATTATTTAAGTAATAATAAATACACAACGGGTAACGATAGCTTAGCCAATACACGGGGTACCAGTACCAAGTCGAAGTGCAGGGGTACGAGCTAATTGAGGTAGATATTATATGTAGTTATGACTATGAATAAATGTGACTAGGCAACAGGATAGATAATAAACAGCAGCAGCAGCGTATGTGATGAGTCAAAGAAAGTTAGTGCAAAAAGGGTCAATGCAGAGAGTTAACCAAATAGACTAACTATTTAGCAGTCTTATGGCTTGGGGGTAGAAGCTGTTCGGGTTCCTGACAGTCAACCAACCTGAGGGCACCTTAGCGGACTAAACTCCACGGTGAAGGTAGTTTCAAATACAACCACCAACTGTTTGCTCATTGCTGTTGCTCTAAGATGGCAACTCAGCACAAATGCACGTGCCTATTGAATTGCAACAAGGAAACAGTCAGTGGATGTATTTGATTAACGATTATTGAAATAGTATGGATGTCAGCAAACAAAGGCACGCAACTACAGAGGACAAACATAGGTACAAGGTTAGCGTTTCATAATTTACATGTTTTTAAGTATTGACCTTGGGCGAATCGTAGCTAGATTCCACAAAGCCTGGTCTCGGCCCCAAACCATTGGTGACGTTCATCATAAACTCCCTTCACCATGGAGTGGAGTTTAGTCCGCTAGGGACACCTAGGCTAGTAATACTGAAGAAAACACATCACTGTCTGTGTAGGTCTATTGGATGTGTTGAATTATTAGGCTCAAGCAGAGTAGGCCTCTCCATTTCTGGAAGGTAGGGTTGCTGAATCAAGACATCCACTTACCACTAACAAATGTGTGAGTTCAGACAAACACCATCTTTGAAGGGTTTATTTGCAGAAAAGACTGCACAAACACTTGCAGGGAGGAGGCTGGGTTTACTAAATGTGACTTCACACACACATTCTCCCAGGACAGAACTGATACAACAGGAGTGTAACTGCTGATAGTTCCTCCCTCTTCTGTGACTGGTGTAGGGCATGTCGAGACATGAGTGTGCCCTTAGTGACAAGCCAAACAAGCTCTGAGGCACAGACAAGCCTGATCCTGAGAGAGTGAACGCATAAATGGATTAACAGAATGAGTGACAATGCACCATTCATATAAACCCCTAGGCCCCGCATATAGCTAAATAGATCTAAGGATCAGATGGGTCCAATGCAAACATGGAGTCGATCCCACCTTGCCCTATAGTTAGGCTAGGAGCTGGTAGGAGTTATGGGCAACAATTATCCAATCCTGTCAGATCTACTCATGGGCTTCAAGAGTAGAGGCTGGGGGCATTTATGTAGAATATGGCATAAGTGGTTTCTTCAGGTTCCCTCAAGTTACAAAACGAGATTACTTAGAATGGGCTACCGGTGAAAGGATGACAAACTATAATGCAAATTGATCAGACCACAGCAAGAGAGCATCTGAATTCATAAAGGTTTATTGTAATAAAATTGACAAAAACTGTACAAGTATCTATATGCACATCTTTTTTTAAATGTACATTAAATGCATACTGTGTTTCAAATAGCTTAAACTCGACATCTTTCCCATCTGGAACAGTAAACAAAATGGTGAGCTGCTCAACAGCTCAGTAGGGAGAGAAGACACTACAGAAGGCTGAGAGCGTCACACTACCTGGCAGTGATACAGACGTTAACATGACGCCAACCAACCACCTCACAGCTTAGTCACAAAGGCTAACTACTCAGGGGATAATAACAGGGAACACTTGTCAAAGTGACAGATTCACATAAGAAAAACATTCACAATAGTGATCAATATTAAAACCCCAACCCCTTTTTGAACATGTTGAAAGTAAAGCTATTCTAGATTAAAAAGTCAAGTCTTTCTCAACTAGGATCCAAGAGGTGTGAAATTAGTTTACTATTTGTTGAGAGATTTAGCCAAACTCCAGTTGCTCTGAATACTCTGACTATTGCACAAAATGATCTATGATATAAAGTTTGGCAGCAATATTCAACGCAAAGGGATTTGGGCAGACATTGTCGTGTTAAGGTAGTACAACCTGTTAGAGGCAGCTCTTTTGCAACTAGGAAGTCAGACAGTGTCTTGAGTCTGATTTCAGGGCACAGGTAGGTTAAGAGTGGTCCTGTAAATTTACAAACCAGCAGTGCACCAAATGACACACACATTATATAAAACATTTAAAAAAACAAGTTCATCTTGGAAATGTATAGGTACCTGAACAAATACTTAACACTCCAGTTACGATAGCTTTAGTTTACATTTGTGAGAAGTGGCAATGGTGTGTGAAGTATTATTACTATTGCACCATGAGATACTAACAGAATCCCAGAGTCGTTTTTTTATACACTTCGAGTCCTGGCTTGAGTGTAGTGTGCTAAAACCAGAGGACAGAAGCACACTACATACTGAGTCCCTGCAGTGCAAAAAGAGCCTATGAGTTGGTAGTCAAATATATAAAAAATGCTAACCCAACAGAAACACTACAACAAATACCCAATGCTTCTAGAAAACTCAAATGAAATAACGTAACATTTATTTAATAAAAAAAAAGGGGTAAATGCTGCGAAATGTAAGTACAAAAAGAATCACTGTGAGTGGTCGACGGGCTTCACACTGACACTGTTTGCGTAGCCCCAGTCGCGGTAGTGCCTGGTCCCGCTCTAGCTCGAGACGGTCATCAGGTAGTTCTTCGGCGGGCTAGTGCGGCCACCGAGCAGAAATTGATTCTTGCAGTTCTGTGTGGGGTCGGGGCTAGGTGCTGCTGCTGGCGCTGGGGCCTCTGCTTCATAGAGGACACATATGGAGCCATCCTCCCCGATGCGGTAAGAGACCTCAAAGGGGTCCACCCAGAGTGTCAGCTCCCGGGGCAGGAGGGCGAAGAGCTGATCGCTAGTAAATCCGATTCGACCAGCAGCCCTGCCAATAATTGGGTCCATTTCATGATTCATTCGGATGCAGCGGTAGCCCGAGCCCTTCTGTGGTCTGTCTGGGAACCAGTGGTTCTGGTAGTGCTCTGTGAAGAGAAAATTATCAGACTAAAGGAACGAAACTAGAAGACTCAACTTGTTGCTTTGCAAACAAAGCACCAGACAATGAATTTGGGCCTACTACAATCATCTCGAGACATTATGCCAAGTTAGACTAACGAGGAAGCTTGCTAACGAATTTGCTGACTTGCAAAAGTATTTAAAAAATGTTTTAAAGGTAGTTGTCGAATTACATGTTCGTTGTCTCCCCCCCAGCATTACCTAATAAAGATAGTCAGCAAAATTATAAAAATCAAACGTCGATCAGATTAGAAAACTAGCTAGATTTGACCGTCAGTTGGAACAGACAAAGCCAAGACTAGCTAACGTTAGCGAGGCTACCGTTAGCCAACTAACTAGCCAAAACATCAATTATATAGGCAGCCACTTCGACAATATAACTAGTTCGTAGCCAAATGTACTTTTTATTTTTACAGGAAAGGCCAACCAAATTACCTGATAATGACTGTTGGAGACAATCTCTGAAATCATGAAGTTGGTGTTCGCTCAGGAAGCCTCTTGTTCTCAATAGCCTGGAAACAAACGTCGCTGCGGCCGTTACTTCGGGGCCCATTTCACCTCTAGATGAGTATCCTTGGTTCATTTTGCCAGCAAAATGGTTTTCAGCTCGTAGGAAATAAAAGTAGAATTTGACAGTAATGCAGTGTGAAACCGAGGTAACGTTAGCTAACGTTGGCTAGCTATAGCTGAAGTAGCTATATGCGAGTCCTGGACAAATCCTTCAGTAAATAGAATCTTCAAGTCAGAAGCAGTGATATCAACGCAACAGGTTGACTCTAGCCAACGTAACAATCAGCATTATTTATCCAAAATAATTGTTCGATTGGAAGTGGTGTTTGATGTTATGTTTCTCTCAACTCCCATTTCCAAGTTCTCTGTGCTTGCACTACAGCTTGTGGCTTCTTTTTTATCAAGGGACAGAATGGGTGATGTCACGTAATTGCCCATTTTGAGTGATTGGCATTTTAACCAATGAAATTCACAGAAAAACACACACAGCGCTCCCCGTGCGATGTGATTGGTTCACATCGTGGAAAACCGAGGTGGGTGTAAAATGCAAATGAGGTTCCGTCCATCACCAAATATAGAAATTGACGTCAAACCCTGCTTTAAAGTACTCCTGACGACAGCGCAACAAAAAACACTAGCTATTTACCGTAAGTTTCAAGTGAGAAAATGTGTTTTTCTAATACATGAACAACCGTGTTCATCAACTATTGACATCTGCTCAAATAGTTATTGTTTACAGATATACCATGTAGCCTACATAGGCGATGGCTACTTGGAAGAAAAGCAGCGAGATGGAAGTTCTTTCGGGTTTAGCCAAACAAATGAACCTAGTATTGACAAAAATACATCTCACTTTACATATTTCAGTTAAAGCTAGAATCCTTAGTTTCTACATAAATTTTTTTGACTTATAAATTAATGATATATACCGATTGAATCTTGAATAATGTAACTTATAAACGCTCCATGAGATTAGTTCAACTGTCGTTCCCCATCAGAACCCAAAATATAAGCTTTTTTTACTCCAATGTTTGTAAACTATGTAAATGTAAACAAACTGTATAGTTCCAAAACGTGGTTACAACTATAATTTTGATATGGATGGTCAGTCCTTGCATCCATTGCTCTTTCGATGAATTTGAGAGGGTTCAATTTCTACAGGCCCATCCCCGATAACACAATTATTACGGCGCAGCTGTGGGCCACCACATACTTTGTTTTTCAGCTTTTGACCAAAACAGAGGCGCGGTAAATGCTTTGTAATTGTTTCAATTAAGGACTCTAGCTTTAACAAGTGTATATGGGGAAATAAAAGTCTAGGCAGAAGAAACTGTATCGGCTGTGAGGAACAAAATCTTAAATCACAGAGTTTAGGTTTAACGTGCAAGTGTGTGTGTGTTGTGGTTCCGCTGGCGCTACTACAGCGACATCTAGTGGTTGTAAATGAAAATACGTTTGTCATTTTAACCCTCTGTTCAAATTAAATTGTATTTGTCACATGCGCCGATTTCAACTGGTGTAGACTTTATTATTATTTATCCTGATGCCTAGTCACTTTACCCTGCTTTAATGTACATACAGTAGCTACCTCAAATACCTCCTACCTCTACACATTGGTACTCCCTGTATATAGCTCCATTCTTGTGTATTTCATTCTTCGTGTTACTACTTTATTTTTAAACTCTGCATTGTTGGGAATGACTCTTAAGCAAGCATTTCACGGTAGAGGTAGGAGGTATTTGAGGTAGCTACTGTATGTACATTAAAGCAGGGTAAAGTGACTAGGCATCAGGATAAATAATAATAACAGTAAAAATAAAGAACAGAGTAGCAGCAGCAAATTATGAGTGTAAAAGTATGTGTGTGTGCATGTAATGTGTATGTAGGCCTACGTATGTTTGTGTGTGTTATGTGTGTGCATATGAAGTATATGTGAATGGGTGTGGATTTTGTGTAGGAGTGTCAATGTAGTGAGTGAGTGTGTATATGGTTTGTGCTTCTATGTCTGCATTATTTGCCGTTTGGGGTTTTAGGCTAGGTTTCTGTATAAGCACTTTGTGACATCTGCTGATGTAAAAAGGGCTTTATAAATACATCTGATTGATATATATATATATATATATACAGGCATTCGGAAAGTATTCAGACCCCTTGACTTTTTCCATGTTTTGTTACAGTCTTATTCTAAAATGGATTAAATTGTCCCCCCCCCCCTCATCAATCTATACACAATACCCCATAATGACAATGCAAAAACAGGTTTTTAGAAAATTTAGAAAATGTATACAAAATAAAAAACGGAAATATTACATTTCCATAAGTATTCAGACCCTTCACTCAGTACTTTGTTGAAGCACCTTTGGCAGCGATTACAGCCTTCTTGGGTATGATGCTACAAGCTTGGCACACCTGTAGTTAGGGAGTTTCTCCCATTCCTCTCTGCAGATCCTCTCAAGCTCTGTCAGGTTGGATGGGGAGTGTCTCTCCAGAGATATCCGATCGGGTTAAAGTCCGGGCTCTGGCTGGGCCACTCAAGGACATTCAGAGACTTGTCCTGAAGCCACTCCTGTGTTGTCTTGGTTGTGTGCTTAGGGTCGTTGTCCTGTTGGAAGGTGAACCTTCGCCCCAGTCTGAGGTCCTGAGCGCTCTGGAGCAGGTTTTCATCAAGGATCTCTCTGTACTTTGTGCCGTTCATCTTTCCCTCGATCCTGACTAGTCTACCAGTCCCTGCCACTGAAAAACATCCCCACAGCATGATGCTGCCACCACCATGCTTCTCCGTAGGGATGGTTTCCTCCAGACGTGACGCTTAGCATTCAGGCCAAAGAGTTCCATCTTGGTTTCATTTAGGTGCCTTTTGGCAAACTCACATTTACATTTACATTTTCGTCATTTAGCAGACGCTCTTATCCAGAGCGACTTACAAATTATGATAGCCAGTGGGACAACCACTTAACAATATTTTTATATATATATATTTTTTTGGGGGGTGGGGTAAGGTGGGGTAGAAGGATTACTTTATCCTATCCCAGGTATTCCTTAAAGATGTGGGGTTTCAAGTGTCTCCGGAAGGTGGTGAGTGACTCCGCTGTCCTGGCGTCGTGAGGGAGCTTGTTCCACCATTGGGGTGCCAGAGCAGCGAACAGTTTTGACTGGGCTGAGCGGGAACTGTGCTTCCGCAGAGGTAGGGAGGCCAGCAAGCCAGAGGTGGATGAACGCAATGCCCTCGTTTGGGTGTAGGGACTGATCAGAGCCTGAAGGTACGGAGGTGCCGTTCCCCTCACAGCTCCGTAGGCAAGCACCATGGTCTTGTAGCAGATGCGAGCTTCAACTGGAAGCCAGTGGAGTGTGCGGAGGAGCGGGGTGACGTGAGAGAACTTGGGAAGGTTGAACACCAGACGGGCTGACACCACCTAATATAGAGGTCCTGGATTGCAGGGAGCTCGTCCCCAGTGATGTACTTGGCTCTCCGCACCACCCTCTGTAGCACTTTGCAGTCAAGGGCGGTGCAGTTGCCATACCAAGGGGTGATGCAGCCAGTTAAAATGCTCTCGATGGTGCAGCTGTAGAACTTTTTGAGGATCCGAGGGCCCATGCCAAATCTTTTCAGCCTTCTGAGGAGGAAGAGGCTCTGCCGTGCCCTCTTCAAATCAAATTGTATTTGTCACATGTGCTGAATACAACAGGTGTAGACCTTACAGTGAAATGCTTACTTAACCAACAATGCAGTTTTAAGAAAAATAAGTGTTAAGTAAAAAAAAAAAAGATAAATAAAAAATAATTAAAGAGCAGCAGTAAAATAACAGTAGCGAGGCTAAATACAGGGGGTACCGGTACAGAATCAATGTGCGGGGACACAGGTTAGTTGAGGTAATTGAGGTAATATGTACATGTAGGTAGAGTTAAAGTGACTAAGCATAGATAATATTCTGGTTGGGGGGGGGGGACAATGCAAATAGTCTGGGTAGCCATTTGATTAGCTGTTCAGGAGTCTTATGGCTTGGGGGTAGAAGCTGTTAAGAAGCCTTTTGGACCTAGACTTGGCACTCCGGTACCGCTTGCCATGCAGTAGCAGAGACAATAGTCTATGACTAGGGTGGCTGGAGTCTTTGACAATTTTTAAGGCCTTCCTCTGACACCGCCTGGTATAGAGGTCCTGGATGGCAGGAAGCTTGGCCCCAGTGATGTACTGGGCCGTACGCACTACCCTCTGTAGTGCCTTGCGGTCGGAGGCCCAGCAGTTGCCATACTAGGCAGTGATGCAATCAGTCTGCATGCTCTCGATGGTGCAGCTGTAGAACATTTTGAGGATCTGAGGACCCATGCCAAATCTTTTCAGTCTCCTGAGGGGGAATAGGCTTTGTCGTGCCCTCTTCACGACTGTCTTGGTGTGCTTGGACCATGTTAGTTTGTTGGTGATGTGGACACCAAGGAACTTGAAGCTCTCAACCTGCTCCACTACAGCCCTGTCGATGAGAATGGGGACGTGCTCTTTCCTCTTCTTTTTCCTGTAGTCCACAATCATCTCCTTTGTCTTGATCACGTTGAGGGAGAGGTTGTTATCCTGGCACCACACGGCCAAGTCTCTGACCTCCTCCCTATAGGCTGTCTCATCATTGTTGGTGATCAGGCTTACCACTGTTGTGTCATCGGCAAACTTAATGATGGTGTTGGAGTCGTGCCTGGCCATGCAGTCATGGGTGAACATGGAGTACAGGAGGGGACTGAGCACGCACAACTGAGGGGCCCCCGTGTTGAGGATCAGCGTGGCAGATGTGTTGTTACCTACCCTTACCACCTGGGGGTGGCCCGTCAGGAAGTCCAGGATCCAGTTGCAGAGGGAGGTGTTTAGTCCCAGGGTCCTTAGCTTAGTGATGAGCTTTGAGGGCACTATGATGTTGAACGCTGAGCTGTAGTCAATGAATAGTATTCTCACGTAGGTGTTCCTTTTGTCCAGGTGGGAAAGGGCAGTGTGAAGTGCAATAGAGATTGCATCATCTGTGGATCTGTTTGGGCGGTATGCAAATTGGAGTGGGTCTAGGGTTTCTGGGATAATGGTGTTGATGTGAGCCA